TCAAGCCACCAGGATAATTAGCCAACCGCTGATAGTGACCCAGGATAAACGAACGAATCCGGATACGAGACTAATCGATTTGCGGTCGTTTGGTCATTATCCAGATCCAATACGGACTGACCCGCTGTGGTTTTTGCTGCAGATCTACTGGCGAGTTCGCAAGATCGATTATGATAGAGGAAGACTGGCAACATGGGGTTCAAGTGATGCTAGGTGAAATACCCCAGCATTTAGTGTCTGAACAAGATGCGCTGTTGGCCTATTTTGTCCTTTGAATATTTGGAAATCCACAGACTGAAACCGAAACGTGATTCGTGACCCGGACGGAATTTCGATATTCCTACCACCCATTTAATATTTGAAACATGTTGGACCCGGTGGGGATCGAACCCACGACCCGTTGCTTATTAGCCGTACATTGTTACCATTTCGCCAACGAGTCCATCGTAGTATCATAATTAACAGTGCTAATTATCATAATTAGCAAATGTCAAATCAAGATGTTGGCATTGATTTTTGATATGCCGTGGCATTCTGATACCAGTTATTGCAATAAGTTGTGAGCTAAATACTCTTAACAAAACCATTTTATTTTTTCAATCCCTGGCAAATATATTCAAATATAATTAAAAAAGCAATTAATGTAACATTTAAAAAGTTCTTCGTCTATATAATTATGTCGAATGTTATATCTTAAATTGTATTTAAATATTATTTAATATTGTTAGTTAATTTATCTAACAATGACCCGACGTGTTGCGTCTTAGCTTTTTAATTCGTTGAAGTTTTTTATTTAAATGTGCACAGCAAAGTAACCGAAACATCGGTTTTTATTCACTATAAACTGTTTTATTTATACAAGATTTTAATTAGTAATAGTTTACGAGGCTTGTAGAAATTAAATTTAACATAATAATAATAATTTTAATACAAAGTATAAAACTAAATAAACACATTGTGTCAGGTCATAGTTAAAAATAAACAATATTTCGCGTTGTAGTCGCTACATACATTAAAACTTGAAAGCATTCTTTAAATACTGTCTATAGTTTACGCGAGTAGTACACATTTAAATAAAACACTTTAACGGTTTAAAACGCGATATATTAGTTAAACTTATTTGAAAATGATTTTTAACTTCGGCCCGACGTTTCGGATGCTTTGCAGCAGCCGTGGTCTCCCCGTGACCACGGCTGCTGCAAAGCTAAAGTGTTTTATTTAAAAGCATTCTTTAAGTCATATATTAAAATAAATTATTACTAGATATAATATATAATGATAAAGTCAAACTGCAGCGGAAGCTCGTTTGTATTGAAAACTGTAGTGTTATAAATGAGATCGTGCGCTACCGAACTAGAAACACGATTAGTAACTTTCAGAACTATTCAAATGGAAGTCTATTTATCCTACTAGTTGGCAAGCAATTCTGTATTAGTGGATCTGGTAGGTAGATTTAAACTTCATTTGCGATACTGATACCGTAACCAACAATTCAAAACCTGGTACTTTCGGCTTGCTGCTTGGTTAACCACATTTATATTGTTCTGATTAACAGTTATTGTTTGAAATAAAAAGAGATACTTTAATTTTATTTAAGCTATACTTTTTATTGAAAGAAAAGATCAGACAAGCATGATGTCTACTTCAAAAAAGGTGACAAACCGTGTAAAACGATTTTGGCTTTACACAGACCGGTAAATCGTATTGTTGACACCTAAACTATAAAGGCACAAAAAAAGATAAAATCAAAATCTTACTAAAGGTATTAACTTTATTATTTCATTCCATTTCTAACTTATATAACATAACTTTATTCGTTCCATTATCTTTTATTCTTTGTAACACCGCCTATTGGGCTCTATGGCTAAACGAAATTTATTGAGTGGCCCCCAGTGTGACAGTTTTGTTCTTGTCAGTTTCTTTCGATCTCCAAAATTTGATCAGCAAATTGTCAGTAAATAAAAATCGACCCAAACGAAAACAGATTTTTTTTTATTTCATACAAAAATCTATTTTAAAAAATATTCGCGCCTCTGGTTTTTGTATGAAAACCTTCTTTTTCTCATTGCACGAGGTGGAGATGTCTTCAACTTCTCCAAACATCTTCATTATCTCGAACACACTTAACGAAAACCTCGCTGTGAGAAATAGCATCTGCAGCGGGCTCATATAAAGAAACCCATTACTGGAACCATTAATTTTTAGTGGCACTAAGCAAGAACATTAATTGTTTAGTACCAGTGTTAAACGTTAACTTGCTCCAGTAGTATCATTAGTGTCGAGCCTAGACGTTGTTCAAAACTCTACTCGATTATTTCCTGAACACATTACGCGGAAAGTGATGTAGGTGAATAAATATCGATAAAATATATACCACTGATTTTGTTGTGTAAATTATTAGTAAAAAAATAAATGTTTTTATTAAACTTATAAACGGCTTTAAATGACAGAGGGAAAGCCATTTAAAACTGTCAATAAAGTTTTTATATTTTATTAACTGGCTCGTTTGTCGAGTGGTTCACTCAACTCCAGGTCACGAGGCCGGGCTAATGGTTACTTTTTTATAACGGTTTGATAGTTAGCTAGTATAGGAATTTGACTAAAAATTTTTAGTACTTACTAGCGTGAAGATTGAAGACGTCTTAAAGACATGTTAAACGGATGGTCCCCATTATCATTACTGAAGTAACGTAGTACATGTAAATTCTAAAACCCTTTGTGAATAAACCTTTGCACGGCAAAAAAATATATATTATGAAAATGAAAATCTATAAAGAAGACATAGTAAACCTAAATACGTAAAGAGGGCAAAATTAAACTCGGCGATAAAAGGAGTGGCAGCGAGATTCTTGCCAGTTCTTCTCGTTCGTTCTACGCCGTTCATCTGAAGTGATAGAGATAGAGAAGTAAATGTGATTTTAGAGTCTAGTTTTTACTAATTTTTGATTTTGACTTCAACTAAAAGTACAATATAACTTCTATGAAACATCGACGTTTCGCACAACACTAGATAATTTACAGTGTGTACGGTATCAGGCGCGAGGTGGTGCATTAAGGGAATATGCCCCTCCCGAGGAAGCAATATGAGAATATAACTACGAATATGTAATACAGTGTATTATTTATATTTTAGCTACAAATCTTTTATTGCGTATTGCAAACGCCAATAAAACAACACTAGCTTTATTTTTGTAAAGCAGTAGATATATTTTGTCTGTACGTTTAATAGAATTATTAAACATCGAGCCATCTATATTATATGAAGCACAGAATATAAACAAAGATGTCTGTTTGTATTTAAACGTAAGTCTAAAAAAGATTCAGCTGTGCTTGGCTTTTGAGTATTCGCCCAATATGATTTAAATTGAATGCTACAAAAATACAGTTGTTAAAGAGTTTATATAAAAAATGTTCGTTTGGAAAAATAGTTATTTTATTTAAGAGTTTTATTCTTAACTACTTAAGGTGGCCTCGAAAGCCACGCAATGTCGCGAGCGAAAGCATTTCAATAATTCGTATATTTTTGTAATTGCCTAATATATTAGATGATAGAATAGTCTCTCTTAATTACTTAAATTAATTAAATATGTATGAAGGTAGAATTAGAACAAAATAAACGAGAATAACGAGCTCGTCTACCTTACAGTTTGTGGCTGAGGGTCACTTCGACTAATACTAGAGATTCTCGATTGTGAAACTAAATCGAACGCAAACGACTTTGGGCGTTATGGCTATGCCATAAGAATAAAAAATATTTTTATATTATTCAAATTGTTCCTTATTTTATCTTTTTGTTCGTAACCTATATAAGAAAAATAACCGATGCGTTATAATATATACTATACTATGCAAAAGCACGTTTTCTATAGATTTAAATCGATCTCCGTGGACGGGAGCTGACTTTACTTCACGACTACTTAATGGTAGAACCTAGCTTAGTTACTGACACATTACCGTACACGGTCGTGTAGAGCATAGAAGGTGTCAGCTCCTCGTAGAGGAAACAGCATTCTATACTCCCATATCTACTGATATGCTGTTAACGTATTTATATTTACTATATTTCTCTTAATTGTAATTACATTAATGCTGTAAAAACAACGGCTTGTTTTATCACCATTACTTAGAATCTTAATAACAGAAGAATATTCCGAACAGCGTTAAATAACGTACAAATAGTATTTAAACTATCGCATTGAACCAACTATGTTAGGATTGTAGAGCTCGCTGTTTGTATTTCAAATCGAATCGAGAATCGAGAACATAAACTTTGTAGTAGGAGTATCCTAATACCACATTCCTAGAGCAAGGATCGACCTCATTAGTGGACGTCCCGAACTCAAATTGAATGAATAAATGGCGCTTAGAGGTACAAATATTTCAATGATCCCTTTAACTAGGGTTATAAACTTTTAACCATAGATTGTCTTGATTGAAAAACTTTTAACCGCGATCCTTTTATTGGGGTATTATCTATCTGTCCCTATAATTAGGGAAAACTTTTATCTATATATAGTTTAATTAAACATGTTATGTGTTAAACAAGTATGATATAAATTAATACAGTAACATACGACTATGTTAAATACTTTTTAAACATTATCATTATTTTATAAGACCCAATAATATATATTAAGGTAAGGTTTGGAGATGATATATTTACGTATTTTTCTAATATAAGAGATAAGGCAGTATTTAGCATACATATGGTCTTTACGTAAGGTTTCAACTACAATATTGCTTCAACTTTTCTCGAGCGTATAAAATTTTCGCCATAAGTTGCCGTTGACAAATCACCCCATCGTTTCTACTTACTTAGCCTTTATGGAGTCGCATAAGTGCTACCCATGCATCAAACAGGAATATGAAGTAACTCGGTATTTGTGGTTGAAAAATGGGCAATATTCAGAATAGGATTTTGAAAAATACGCTCTCTTCATTTAACTACAGACCCATAAGGCACACATATACTTTTGTACACGTTTCTTGAGGTACAATCATTATATCAAACCATACGTTTCGGTTGAAGCGTAGAAAACTCCAGACGTATTCCCTGGATTTGAATAACCCGCTATAGCCACCTCGTTTCCAGAACACTTTCCATTTTTAAATTCCTTATACGAATCACAAGCCCACGCCAAAAAGCTACCGGGGTGGGTAACTGTATATGTCCAATAACCAACACACGCCTTGTGACTACACCTTGCAGCATCAGATTCTCCGTACCCAGGGATGATACCCACGTTACAATGAGGCTGAACCCTACCGTCGTTTAAGAAGAAATCCACATCTGCGAGAACACTGGTCGTACCTAAACCACCAGCATTGCAATGAAACACTTCAACATAATCAGCTGCTCCAGAGTGCAGCTGTTCCTCAATTAAGCTGTTAGAAAAACACGGTCCAGCTGGATCAATACCAGTGATTCTTCGGAACCTTTCAGAGGTGTATTCGAAGTAAAATGATCCCGCGTATCCTAGAATATGGCAGCCGAGGCTATGTCCGATACAATGTATGCTTTGAGAGGGGAATCCGAGTCTCCGGAAGTCAGATAATATTCTACCGATTTGTTTACCTATATAATACGCGTAGTGTACCGATCGCTCGTAACTTTTCCGGTTTCCCCCTCGAGATGAAGTGTAGATAGAGTGGTCTATTATTATGAGGTATATGTTCGGTATTTCTTTGAAAGCCTGCCGTATAAGTTCGGGTGCGTTTCGGCTGATATGGGATTTGTATCCGGGCACAAAGAATTTGATCTCCCTAGTCGTGTCCAAGTTATAAAAGTTTGTAATAGCGTCGAATGCGTTGTTTATCTTGTAGCTTATATTGTAATCATTTGTAAAGTCGTAAAAATACACCTCGGTCTCGCTGACGTCTAAATTTGCATCTTTGCTGTGATCACCTGTACAAGAGATTACATGGATAAATAATTATTCTTTTATAATGATTATTTGCTCATCAGACATTCTGCTATTTATTTCTATTCTATTCTATTGGGTTAACGACTTAGTCGTGGGTACAGAATACTTTATAATTAAGCAATTATTAAAATCTACTATTTTTCATTTAACAATAAAAAATGATATCATAAAATAATAAATGATAACTTACACGTGATCCAACTAGAATACAGCAGGTTTTTAAATGGACCATATTCAGACTGCCAATTGGCGTCAACATTTAACAACACTGTACAAATTAAAAGTATAAACAGTGCCATCAGCGATCAGCTGGTGTCAGCGGTCAAACGATAAGTGAACTAACAATTTGATCTTGTGCTGTGCGCAGCTGTGTCGTATCTGTATCCTAATTATTTGCTTTATAAGTATATTGCCCTATTATAGGTATATTGTATTGAAGTAGTCATTAAGCCAACATACAAAAACAGCTAAGCACGAGACGGAAGCGTCCATTATCAAAAAGCGTTTATTGTATTTGACGGGTTTGTTGATGAAAATAAGACGTGCAATGTATCTCAACGGGTCGATGGATCGATCTCTACCAGATCCAACACATTTCCAATCACTTATATTTTTTTCACTGCATATTAAATGGTTGGTAGGATTATCTAAACTCCGTCCAGGTCACGAACCACCGTCTACAGATGCTACGCTTCGGTTTTAGTCTGTGGATTTTTGAACATCTAAAGCCAAACTATGCTAACAACATATGTAGGTTAGATGTTATATGGCTGAGGTATTTCAACTATCAATAAGTTGTCCATCTTCCTATAACATACAAAATGGTCCATACATAATTCGCGTTTCAGTAGGTATTCATTGTTATCTTATCACTGTTTATGAGTTTCGGATTAGCTAGAGATTAAATTTTATTCTTCGAAAACGGAACCCTAAAAATCATTGAAAACACCAACACAAACCTTTCTAAACTGTTGTTAGTGTCCGATTTTTTTTTCTAAAACAATATGTTTCAGAACAACAAAAAAACCCTTTATTTCTCTTAGAATACGTAACGGCTCTAACTGTTTCAGATAAGCAGAATAAAATGGAAATCCTTAGTTCTTCCAACTAGTAATTAACTGGCTTAATCGCTGGACAGTCGATAAAAGTTTTTAATTGACTTTTCGCCTCCCCGACACCTTCGCTAATCTCGATCTTCCTTCAGCTAGGGTTGCCTACTGAATAAACTAATACTATACTTACACCTCATCAGAAATTAATGTTTTATAATTATGACAATTCTAAAAACAGATCATTCGCAAAATTTAATTAGTGTATCCTGTATGGGATACTAGCTGTGTCCACGACTTCGTCCACGTGGAATAGTGACTTGGGGTAGAATGTTTAATTATTTAGGCTGTTTATTAATTTACGTGAGGGCGCATTTAAGGCAGCCAATTTATGTTGTAAGTGCTACTTTGCTGCAACACTCTCACCTCACATCACTCCTACTCTAACTCCCACTCTCATTCCTACACTCACTTTCACTCCCACTACCACGCCTTCTCCTTACTCCCAGGAAACCAAAGAAGAAAGTTTTATAGTTCTATCTTCAAAAATCACGAAATTCTATACCCCTCTTTTAACCAACTCCCTTTTCGCAATAAAAAAGTAGCCTATGTCCTTTCTCAGGGTCTAGTATCTGTATACCACATTTCATTCAAATCCGTTCAGTAGTTTTGGCGTGAAAGAGGAACAGACAGACAGACAAAGTTACTTTCGCATTTATAATTAATATTATTTTTTTTATCCCTACTAATGTAAAGATAAAAAGAGACTTATAAAAGTATGACTTTGTCTTTTCGATCTATAGGATAAAAAAAAATCTTATTTGGTATTATTGAACTGGGTTCAATGGAATACAATTCTTTTAGCGCAACTTTCAATACTATAAAATAGTGTACCATTAAGTACAGTATTTTAATGTCACTTTTTTCCTTTTTGTTATACCGAGGATATCTACTATTGTATGCATCTGATTAAAGTTTTTTCAAAATCGTTTACCATTTTCCCTTACAAAGATCATATAGTCAACGTTGAGAGAAAGCAATTTAAAATTGAATTTAAATAAGAATTTTCTTATATACTGTTACATTTTGTCAACCCTAACACAAACCGATAACAGCTTTCTCGCAACTATTTTTTTATCCTAGCGAAGTGTTAAGTGAATTACGTTAAGAGAGAAATAACATCTGCCTTAGGATTCGCCGAAGGAAGAATGTATTAAATAATAGAAGAAAATAAAACTATTTTCTTTGGTGTTTTATTGGTCTATTCATCATGACTTACATAACAGTATTTTCGTAACTAAAACAAACTAATTCGTGCACTTGTAATAGACAATAATAACTGTATAGTTGTGGGCAAGAAAAAAGTATTTAGCTGTTTTCTTATGAGAAATAAATATGTATCGCGATTTTTTAGTAGCTTTCCGTTGCCATTTTAATTCGATTTTAAAGAGGAGTACACAAGTGTGTGGTTAACTTGATAATCTAGTGAACCACACACTTGTGTGTACTCCTAGGAGAAATACCCTAGCCCATATAACATCTAAGCAAGATGCGTTTCAACCTATTATGGCTTCGGATATTCGGAACTCCACAAACAGAAACGCGATAAAACTTGACGGTTTTTTTATCTGTGGATGGGGGCCGTGACTCAGACGAGATTCCGAAATTCCTACCACACATTTATTATCCAGATTTTCAGGAAATTAATTTACATGTTTCAGAAAAATTATAAGTCGATTAAAAAAATGTTACGCCCAGTGGGGATCGAATCCACGATCCGTTATTAGCTACATATTGCTACCATTACACCACCGAGGCCGTCCTACATATATTCTATACCTACCTGCTAATTATAATGTCAACTACGATTACTAAGTGGCCCTATTTGTTAGAATGTATCACAGAAATTATTACAAACTAACAGTTAGTGATATCTATTTTATTTGAGTTCGTATTATACCAACCGCCGAATACCAAATTCGACGGAACGACGACGAGATGTCGCTAGCATAGCAGTTTTTTACTTTGACGTCATATACACCCTCCATCTTTAGTTTCCCCGTGACCACGGCTGCTGCAAAGCATCCGAATCGTCGAGCCGTAGTTAAAATAAATTTCACACAAGTTTAACTAATATATATATCGCTTTTCAAAGCGTTAATGTTTCATTTAAATGTGTACTAGTCGCGTAAACTACAGACAGTATTTGATTTCGTATTCCATTAAGGAAATATTCTGATCTGTTTTGGTAAAAGGTGTTATGGGACTATTAAACCACTATAATACAATGGTTAGTGACAAACGCGACTATAATCTATGATTCAAATAGGTTTCACACTGGCCCCAATCTGCCTCCGTATGCTGGCGACTCTGTGCAATTCCTCTATATTTTTGAGTATCGTATCAAAGAAACTTGCGATCCACTCCTCTGTACTTCGTCTGCCAGTTATCTGGTCCAAATGTTTCTTTGTTTCCGTGTATAACCCTTTCAGATCCGTGAGAAGCCTAGAGAAAGATAGAAGTTAATGCTTGATAATTATCAAATGAGATATATAGAGTATTTTTTCCAACTTGACATTTTTGGTAAACAAACACACAATTAACAGGAAATCGTGAATTTCTCACAAGGTTTACACTAAAAACACTTTGCGACACTGGATTACTTATTAAATTAATGAACTACCTCCAATTGACTTAGTAAATAAAAAAATACACTGCCAACAAGAAATATTACATAACCCCACCAGTAGGAACTGTTGGAAGGTGAATATATTATCATTATAAACGATTTAACAATTTTTGTATCCACATTTTAAATGTAAATACATAAAAACACAAAGTTGTTAATTTTGTACTAACGTTTGAGATGCATTTGCCACACTCTCTACTTGTACAGGACTTGTGTACGCTGTTTTTATTTGCCACGGGTTCAACCATGTCGCAACACTGAAAATATAACCAAGATATTAAATAAATAATTATTATTTTAAAAAATAATTGTTAAGTGCTTTACAAAGTCTTTATATGATCAACTCTATACTACACGGTCTGAGCAACTAAATTATACTTAGGTACGACCCCGGTTAGTCTCATTACCGAAGAAATAATAAAGTGTCTAATTATGAAAATAACAAATAGATTTAAAATTTAAATACACTTTAATAATATAAAACGCAATATAGTCACTTATTCTTATCTTACTTAAGTACATCTCGACGTTTCGGATACTTTACAGGATTCGTGGTCATGTGGCGACCAAGGCTTTAGAGTTTTAAACCGTTAAAAGTGTTTTATTTAAATGTGTAATACTCGCGTAAACTACAGAGAAAACTTCAGTTGAAAAATTAGGAAGCTCCACTCTAGTGTTACTACTCACAGGTCGCCATGAAGTAGGGAGTAGCATCGCTCTCTCAACATGACAAAAGAATGTATACAGCGAGCCACTTCAATACCAGGCCACTGCTCTTCTGGTAACACTTCGCTGAATGTTTCTGAAAAGAATGGATGAAATTAATAAAGAAAATACCCAAAACCAAACACGAACTTTATTCCATACTAGCTGTGTCAGTGACTTCGCCCGCGTAGAATAGTTATTTTGGGCTTACAAATTGTCGTATTTGCGAGCTCATCTTAAGAGATAGACAAATAGTGATTATTTTTTTGATCAATTAAAGAAGAATCATTGTCTCTTACATTTTTTTTTTGAACCGTTTTCGCAGCGTACGCATCGGAAACCTACAAAGATAAATATTTTTTCCCGTTTTTTTCGCAATTTTCGCTGTTTAGCCTATAGCCTCCCTCGACAAATGCTCCAATTAACACAAAAATAATTTCTAAATTCGAACCAATGCTTACTGAGATTAGCGCGTTCAAACCTAAAAACTCTTCAGCTTTATATATTAGTATAGATATAGATAACTATTGATTTATTTTTTTTTGCTTAATTAGCTCACTCGATGGAAGGTGATATACCTTGGTATAAAACTGGTTCATAACATGAATTGACACGTGATGGTGATGCATGAACCGGACGGAATCTCGATACATAACCAAAACATATTTTAGTCGAACGTATTTTTCATGATATTTAGTTTACTTACTATATGTATTCAATTTAAAGATATAAATTTGACTATAGCCTTCAAAACTTTTAAACTATGTATTTAAAACCGATTTTAGATTTTAAAAATGAATACTCTAATTGGTTAGAGCAACAGCACAGAACGCTGTCGATTCCGGTTGAAGTCCAGCCCGTGTCGTAAATTTTTTTCAATCCAAAATCGGTTTTTACTTTTCTTAGAGATTTTATTTTAGTTGCAGTCTGTACTATGTATTAATAATTTTGCAAAAAAATCATCATAAACAAAATATATAACAAAAAAAAAGACATCCCAATTTTTTTTATATTATTAATAAGGAAACTCACCATTGTCAGCGCAGTCTAACCTACTCCATACCCTTAAACAGCTATGAAGACTCGGCAAAGAAACCGGAAATAACTCACATAGCGTAGCGTAATGGTCGTACCTAAAAAATATAAAAGCAATGAGGTTTACCAAACCATAATTTGCCATTTTGACGTTAGTAGAATAGGGCTCGGAAATTTTGGTTGACATAATAACCGTACTCATATTCTGACATATGAGTTGGGCTCGTTCATGATACGTTCCGTCTCTATAAAACGGACATCTCGTTTGTTGTATTTTTAATTACCTATATTACACATAAGTGATGGGGTGACAGACAACGAAATGTTAATTTTATTTCATGAACAGGTCTTATACCTAATATCATACCCACTAACATCAGTAAACCCAATAAAAGGCACAGTTATTCTATAGTAACATACCTGGACCATCCAGTAAGAATCACTCCATTGTATGTGATGCCATTAGGTTTCCTAGATATTTCCCTTCGCCACGCTTCCTGATTACTCACGTAGCGACCTACAGGTGAGAGCATCTGAAAATGGCATTATCGTTATTAAATAAAAAGATTAACCAACCATGACAGCAAGAAGTATAGTAAATTATATAAAACACTTTTAACGGTTTAAACGCGAAATATATTAATTACTTATTTTTGAATTAATTTACCGTTTTTGTAGCAGCCGTAGTCACAGGAGGACTCAAGTTAAAAGGGTTTTATTGAAATATTTGTTATCTTATGTAAATGTTATAATTGATTTAGGTACACACTAACCTGACTACTTCCATTTGCACCTTTGAAAGCAGATCCAGCCCAGAAATTTGTAAATATCTTGTCGTACTTGTCCCACAGAGGTTTGTCTATTTGAAAATGTTCCATTGTGCTATAGTTCCAAATAACAGGTTGTACTAAATCTCTGAGATTGTAGGCTACAAAAAAAAAAAGAATTTGTGGTTATAATGTTCTTATAAATATTATTAGATTTAACAAATTGGTATACAATTAAAATGTTTAAATATATGGTAAGAGAGGTGTTCCCCAGTTTTCTGTTAGTTGTTATAGCAGTAACAATTTGCACAAGACATTCCAGCAACATTAGACAAGGGACCTTTAGCTACAAAAACTTGTTCTATCCATAAATCTTCTTGGGAATACTAATTAGACCCAACAAGAAACTAACCTTGTAGTGTTTCAACAGACATAGGCCTTAACATATCATCCCACATTAATATTGTGACATCAGGCCTACATTGTTTAATATATAATATGACTTCTCGTATGTGATCTAGAAATAAGGAGGCGACTTTATACTTGTGTGTCGATGCTTTGTGTTGACAATCTGAGCATACTGCTGTGTGCCATACCTGAAAAAATTACAGGAATTTATTGAGTACTTTTAGATTTAAGATCTCTCAGTTCGGAGCATCACCTAAAGTACATGCACTCATAAAATATTTTTAATTTATCCCAAAGCAGATTAACATCTAGACTTAAATTCTGGTCTTTAATCACAAAGATAAGTTGCATAACTAAATAACTTTATTATAAGTTTTTATCATACTCATATAATTATGTAGATGTACAAAACTGTGTTCTAAGGAAATTAATTATTATAAAAAGGTATATATCTTACCTCATCTGCTCCAATATGGATATATTTGGCATCTGGTTGAACATCTAATACTTGTTGTACTAATTTTAGAACCAGATTTAAAGACTCCTGCTTAGTTGGGCACAGAACAGCTGGGGACCTCGGAGATTCTCTAAGATGCTCACATAATGGATGTTTTAAGATGTACTCTAAGTGAGCTATAGTTTGTATCAATTGAATCTGTAGAATAAGTAGGTAAGTCTTATCAAAATTTATCACTACAATACAAACAAATTTTCTATTTTAGAATTTGTAACTAGTTATTTAAATAAACCTTTAATTTACCACTTGTAGTCCATTGGCTTTTGCACATTGTATTATGTCTTGTATTTGTTGTAAAGAATACAAGTCGTCTCCTCCACAATTCTTTGCACTGCCAAAGTCCACCAAATCGAAGGAAAAGGGAAAAGTGTCTTCCCACTCTATTAGTACCCCAGTACCACCCCAATCTTTTATACACCTGAAAACCTATAAAATGTCCATCGAAAATGAAATCACTTCACTAAAGTTAAAACAATAACAAGAAAAAATCTTTCTTACCTTCTCTAAATATAAATATTTCAGTGGTGCACCTTTAAAATCCAAATGAACTATTCTAAAACAAGTGAATGGCACAAATTGTATATTTTCGTCTTTTACAATATTTGTAAATATTTATATTGACAAAAATTATAGCAATAAATTATAAAAATATAATATTAATATTATTTTACAAATTAGCATGTTATTAAATTGTTTGTGAACCAACTGCTTAATAATCAATTTAATGAACGGAGTTTACCTTTCCATTTTTCAATCTTTAACTATAAGTTTCCCCCTGTTTCACAGACTGACCAAAAATTACGAACTGTCACGATCAAATTATTTACTGTCAAAACTCAAAATAAGAAAGCCACCAAATTAAGCAGAAAAAGAAGAAACCCTAAATGCTAATAAAGATAAACTGTTCGCTGTATTTAAATCTTCTTTCAAATAATTAAACAATTTACTTTACTTAATTAGGTCTATGTCTTATTTAGGTGATTAATCCACAGATGTAAATATTTATACATCTGTGAATGTACATTGTACATTAATCACTCACTACATACATATTTTTTAACTTGACACTGGCAAATAGTTAGTTCTTCTTGCCACAAATGAAAAAAACAAACATACATAATATTTAAGGGGAAAAGTAATAATAATATTGTTCTTGCCACAAATGGAAAAAAAGTCTGTTATAGTTGTGACTTGAAATAAGTTGGATTTAAAATGTGATATGACGTACGATAAATTGTACAATCATCTTTACAATAAACAATAGGGATGGGATAGTATGAACTGAAACATTTGACAAAGATAAAAAAATGAAGTAAAAATGTAATGATACTCTTTGTATTATTTATATCGTACGGACGTTCGCGTATCAAAGTTCTATTATGAAAGGATACTGGTCTATGAAGACAAGTTGAAACTTGTAAGGCAATCTAGAATTCGAGACGACGTATCTTATAATCTAAGAATCGTTCTCATTCCCTTTTGTATTTGAAACAAAATTATGTAAACAAAGAATATATTATATATAAAAAAAAACGTAATCTTAATAAATCAGAGCATTATATTCCAAAGAATAATATTTGACATGTTTCATATTATATCAATTCATTTTTACAAAAAAAAAATAAGAAAAATTGGAAGAAATAAGTATATTATTTAGTAAGAGATATTATTACGCTTTTTTTATATTACGCTTTAAGTAAACAACAAAAAAAAAACAACGAATTTATCATAATATATTTTCTTAATATTAGAAAAAGTGCACCCTTAATCCTAAATAAGTTTTATGCTACAAAACTCGTCAAAAAAGTAATAAACTACTTAAAGGCAATATAGTAAATTCGTAAATTGTAAGTTTAAAACAGATTGCAGACAACAATATCGCAACATTTTTCAACCTTGTTATTTTTACACACATATTCTATAAAAAATATATTCCTCGACACTGGTTAAGTAGATATTATATACGTTGTACATGAATAACCTTTAAGTAGTAAAATAAAAATATCTCATATATTTACTTAAACACTTATCTAAGGCGTTTAGGCTCGTTAGACCTCGTTCTAGTCGAGTCTTTTTTAGAAAATGCTATAAAATTTTAAACAATATACTGAATATTGTTTTAAATAAATATATATATCTATAGTTAAGCACTCTTATTTCTATAAAAGCAACAAGCATACAAATACAGGTATTCTCCAATGTAAATGACAAATGTTATCAAATTAATGCGCTATAATTATCTTGACACTGGGATCAGGTTCTCCCGCTACATCCTTTGCGAGAGGAGCATTTCCTATGATTCTAAAGTTTTTTGTATATGGTATCACAGCTACAAGCAAGCCCGATACCACCACCCATATCCCAGCCACGTAGAAGGCCGCATCCCAATATCCTGTTCTATCGCGGAGCGCTCCTGAAAATTTAAAGGGACCTCAACATACTGAAACCTACATTGTCCTCCATCTTTTAATAAAGGATATCTTTGGATTATTACCCATAATATGTCAATGAGTCATCATATATTTAATAAGTAAATTTATTAGCCGAATATAAGTACTCTTAAAAGTCTGTTTATGGCGCAAGTTTTTACTTAAACATGAGGAACTTACCAGCCATGGGAGGTCCAATTAGATGACCAACGCCCTGACTCAAGAGCACCAGGCCATAAGCCATGGTAAATCTTTCCAACGCAATAAGCTCCACAAGAATACTCGGAGTGTAGGAGTACGAGCTGGAGAAGGTTAGGCCGAATATAAATGCGTTCAGAGTCAGAATGTAGAAACTGTACGATTCTCTCGGTTCCATAACACGTATCAGTACCGGGAAGAGGATGATGGTACCACCACATAATACAAGACAAAGGCCGTAAGTCTTCGTAATATTGACCCATGGAAGATCTCCCATCCAACCCAGGCCCACCTGAAAATCAAAGAGTGAATTACTCTTTACTATATTCAAACTAAAACTATCTTTCAAAGCCTTATGCACTAGTATTTCTTTTTTGTACCGTGTGTAGTAATATTTCTATCGACCTTGACACTTTGATCTTTGAGAGCAAATAACATTGTACTTTTAGTAAACCATTTTATTCTCGTAGTTAAGATAAGGAATATTTATCTAAAACTCTTATATTTTTTAATAACTGATATTAAAACGTGTGGAATATGATCATATGTAAACCAAATGATTACTATGATGGACCTTGTACAATTTTAAAACCATATTGAATTCTCATTTGTGGTTTGCAAGACGTTACAGACTTTAATTATCGGAGAATCACAATTTACAGACTTGAATAGTACTTACAATACCAATGATAGTGGCTACTCCAAATATACTAAGCATTAAGGCACCCTGAGTCTCTGTGTAGCCGCTCTCTTCCATGAAAGTCGATATGTAGAAATATGGTACAATAAACCAGATAAATAAAACTAAAGTCGAAAGGTTCATCATTAGGAAATGAAATTCGGTGAACATGTTAAAGTCAAATGTTTTGTTTATCATGTCCAAAAGGCGTCTGCCCCAAGTCTGGAAAAAAACAATTTTATGCAATTAAATAGCAGTAAAATAGTACATTTTAGCAACTTTTTTATGACAGAGGAGGATAGAGAGCGTGGGGTTCACTCAAGAGAGGGAAGGCGTATATTAAAGCCAGCAATATCTAAACAAGATGCGTTCTCGAAGTATTTTTTCTATGGACATTCGGATATTCACAGCCTGAAAGGCGGTTTTACACTTTATTGCTTTTCATCTACAGACTTGGTGAGTGGCTCGTTCTACCACTCGTTTTATGTCCAGATTTCCAGGCTGACATAGGAAACACAGGAAAAAAATGTAGTGCATGATTTAGGGAAAACAACCCCACAATTTTTAAGCAAAATCTTTCAAGTTTATAGGAAATTGAATTTTTTACCTTATTTTCTTCTTCTTTAACAGACCACATTGAATTTCTATAAATGTCCGGACAAGATGAAGCTCTCAATTTATACTTAGCAATGTTCATCATAGCACCCCTGTGCATAATGGAGTTACGATGTACTCTAATATCCTTCAGATAATTGTGGTCTGTTTGAATATGTTTAGTAAACCAATCTTGGCGCACTGTCTTTGGTGAAATGACATTATTTTCAGGAATCGGTTGGAGCAACTTATCCTTAACTGTTTCTAGTTTCTTATCAAATTCTTTTTTATTTTTCTTACTTAGCTTAGCCTTTCCATCGTTTTTTTCTGGGGACTCAATTGGCAGCTTAGTCTCTGAGGACGACCTTAAAGCTAGCAGTGAAGGGTAGTTTTGTAAAACGATATTGTACAAACGTTCATTAGATTTAAGTTGATCTAATACTTCGATTGGAACCTGAAAAAAGGAGTAGAGTGTGTATTACATATTGTTATTATTATTAGTACATGCATGTACATTATTAAATAAGAAACGAACAAAAAGTGTTCAAACCTTCTCATGCTGTCTTAAGAACGTTGGCAGATTAATAACAGAGCTACCCTTTTGAATTTGAGACAGATCCGCATTTCGTTTTGTAGTTTCTTCTACGTTTTCTGCTTCTGCTATAGATGCCACTAAAGCCATAAGAATATCCTCGGGTGTATCACCACTGTTCATCATAGATTTCAATTCGTCGACTCCTGGGTAAATTGATTCCCCTCCCCCTGATCGTGCGGAACGTGCTGAAATAGATGTAGAACTTGACGCTCTTTTGGCCTTACTTAGTTTTCTCTGCTTTTTCTGTTCTAATATAAGCCACTCAGGATCCCTCATTACAGCTCCACAAACGCATACATTAAGTACTGTGCCAGCTAATAGTAATAAAGTACCTCTCCATCCATATTCATCTAATAAATAAGTCGTAAGGGGCGAGTATACAAATGTTCCGAATCCAACACCACAAGACCCCAAACCAACAGCTAGGTTTCGTCGTTTTTCAAACCAGTAAGCAATGGACACCACAGCGGTAACATAAAGTAAGCCCATGCCTAAACCAGCGATGATACCGTAAGTCACATATAATGCTTCAACCGTATTACTGTAGGACGCAGCTACAAATCCAACAGTCGAAAATACTCCGCCAACTATAGTCATGTTTTTACACCCATATCTATCAACTAGGGCGCTCATTATAGGTCCAGCTATTAGCGGTACCGATATAAAAAGACTACCGATTAATGAAGTCTTTGCTTCGCTCGTTTCAAAGAAGTCCACAAACTTTATCTGCAGTAAACCGTAGGAGAAAGCCAAACCATCTGCCACAGTGGCTATAAGGAAAGAAGCCACTACGACCACCCAGCCCCATCCCCCATCCGGTATCTGTGGTTCTTGTTCCGGTGCTTTGATAGAGCATATACTATCGGCATCTCCCAATCCCAAGAACTTAACTCTTTCGTTTGTTGACTTCGAATCGTCATCATCCTTCTTATAGGTTACAACAAGATTATCCTTTATATCATCCGTTTTCATCGAATTCAATGTATTGAGATCATTTTGTTCTGAATCTCTAATATCAGACTTGCTGTCATAAACCGAATCGATATATTTGATGTCATTTTTTATCAATAATGGAGACGTAGTCTTCTCCTCTTCAGACGGTAAGCTTTGTTCATGTTTAATTTTGTCTTTACCTGGTCTTCCATTTGCGTAGATTTTTTCCGGTTCCATTCCACGCGTTTTAAGTACGGTGTTAAGTACCTTCTTGGGAAATGAGGGATCTCTTCAGAGAAAAGATTAATCGCTTTCAATTAGCGTTTTATGGATGTCTACGTTGACGCGACGATTAGTTCTCTCGACCAGTGTCTTAACCTCGGGTCTCTAGCGGAATACCGACAGGGGCTCTTCGATATACAAAGAGTCAAAGTGCTGGGATTGGAAGTTGACGAGTTCATCAAGGACCGGCTAGTCCTCGATATCAAGTTTTGAAAAAATACACTTTCAAAGTTATGGCGCGTTTGTCGAATAAACGTCTTCTCTCTTTTTGACATTAAAGTCTTTCCGCTTCGTACATTTCAAGACAGAAATAATCTGTAACAATAGATAACACAAATTATTGTGGTATTGTGCTAAGATTTAAAGCATCACATTATATAGTATTAACCTTGTTGAAGAAAAAAGTACAACTTGATTTTACACTGAAAGACTTTTTTATCAAATAAAGACATTTACAATCGGTGCATGAATTACACAATCATATTCGAAGGAAATAAAATCAAGAAGTTTTTAAATCTATTGATTTTATCGCATGGAATAGAGGTAATCTATCATAAACAACGCTGTATCGATCAGATAAGCAAAACAATTGCTAAATTTTAAATAAAACACGCATGATACAAAAGCCACCTAGCATTGACGATATTAAAGTTAAATACTGTCTATAGTTTACGCGAGTAGTACACATTTAAATAAAACACTTTAACGGTTTAAAACGCGGTGCAGCAGCACGGGTCTCCCCGTGACCACGGCTGCTGCAAAGCATCCGAAACGTCGGGCCGAAGTTAAAAATCATTTTCAAATAAGTTTAACTAATATATCGCGTTTTAAACCGTTAAAGTGTTTTATTTAAAAGATATTAAAGTTACAAGTAGGTTTGTCTACAGAACAGCTAATCGAGATGATGAATTATTGTTAAGATAAGATAAATGTGTCTAAACAGTTGTATCCCTTTGTTAAATGTAATACCTACTCTTTATCGAATTAAAGAAATATATGTGGACAACTAAGACTACGTACGAACAGACATGAATGTTCTGGCTATTGATCTAAGTACAATTATCACAAGACCCAGAATCGAGGATTTTGAGAAATCTGCTTTCTTTAAGATACGGCCAGTAATGGAACGATGAAGTGATTTTTATTTTAAGACTAATACATGTTTGTGTTTCTATTTAGAAAGAATTTTTAAATAAATAATTAAGAAACCCTGCAAATGTTTTAAATCATGGTCGCCGTAGTCGCGTGAAAGTGTAGGAAACTTTTATGGCTGCTTAAAAACTGGTAGTATACAAGTACATGAAGATAAATATGATACTGGCAATAAATAAAAAGACTTAATTAATAAATCAATTTCCAATACTTAACATAATCAAGATTATAAAATCGGATTGTTGATTGATATCAAATTATTGATGTAATAAATTGCAGAACAATAACAATCATTCAATTGTTATCAAATTATAATTCTTACGCTGACTCAAATATATTACATAAACAATAGACTACTAATAAATTCTGACATGACATATTATGACAAGTGAATACATACTTAGGTATTACATTTCCGTGTACTAAGTAATGATACTATGTAAAAATGCAATGGGGCAATAAACATTCATTACATATAGGTACATACCAAAACGAAATAGGTATTGCACGAGAGGCAATTCTAAAACTTCGCTGTCTCCTTACTTCGAATACACCTCTACAAATTAATCCGCTTTGTTATTCCAGACACTTTTGTATATCAAATGAATACAGTAATGATGTGGCTACTAAAGTTATCGTCCACAGATGTCCGATTACTGAACAAGCGTGTGCTATTCAATTAAATATAAGGACGGATGCGTGGATGACGTCACGCGTAACAATTTACGGCCAACAGGCGACGACGATGAACACCGAATAACTTGCCGATATCTATAGCAAAACGTACCCACTCGCATCAATTGAGATAATATTATTGAGTTGATATTACAGCTCATTCTAAACGTGCGGACCAATACTGTTTAAGGTGGAGTCAAACTTTAGATTGTCTTTAAATATTAGTAACTAATATATATCGCGTTTTAAACCGGTAAAGTGTTTTATTTAAATGTGTAGTCGCGTAAACTACAGACAGTATTTTATCTTTAAATAGACCAAGGTACTAACCTCGTTAGCTTTTTTTGTAATTTATAATTAGTGATAGATAAACCTACCTATAAGCTGAGTAAGGGACTATTCAACGAACTTGCTACACATTGTTATATATTTTTTTTCTCTTTTCTTAATTTTAGAACGACACATCTTTTTTATTTTATATAGTAAATACTACTTTTTATACATACAAGTGTTATGTTAGTAAATAAATTTATTTGTTCCGTCTTTCTTATTTGTTGGTTAACAATTTCGAAGTAAATCACGTCAAATATGCGCAAACGGAATTGTTTAAAATAACTCGACCTTCGAAAACAAAAACGTCTAGTTTTCTGTAAATTGAGAGATTGGCTACACTCCAAAATCTCAGTCACAGTTTTGCCTGTAATTGACATGTCCTCTGTGCGTTTAATATACGAAAGCAGCAACCGTGGTCACGGGTAACTTAAAAATGTAACTAATATATCTATATCTATGCTAATATTATAAAGCTGAAGAGTTTATTTGTATGTTTTAATGCGCTCAACGCACGAATTACAGGTTTGAATTAATAAAAAATATGTTGGTTAGAGCATTTATCGAGTATCATCTCCTCGATAAATTTTGTAACCAACAAAACAATAGTTCTTGATGTTAGTATAGATAATAAAATATATTATATGGAGACAGGTGTGAAAGATACAGACTTCCAAATTTTCAATCTATTTTAATGTGTGAAGCTACTGCTATACTTAAAGCTTTAGAAATAATATACAGGGAATTAAATAATGAGAAATTAAATATAATTTATACTGACTCAAAATCGTGTTTAACAGCTTTACAGAATACTAATAACAACGAACCAATATTTATGGAAATTAGAGAAATTATGATAAAACTTTTAAAACAAAATTTTAAGTTCGAATTAATTTGGATCCCAAGCCACCAAGGTATTATCGGTAATGAAAAGGCTGACAGAGAGGCTAAGAATGCAACACTCGAAACTGATATAGATCAATTTATTAAAACCAATCCGTCCGAATTAAAAAAATATTATAAAACTAAAGTAAAAATTCACTGGGACACCGAATGGAAAACAAACAACGTTAGTAAATTATATAATGTGCGACATTCAATCTTTGATAAGGCCCCTTGTTCGTTTAATTGCAGAAAAGATCAAGTCGTTCTGGCAAGGTTACGCATAGGACACACTAACGTATCCCACATCCATCTGATAACAAAAGCTACCCCAAATAAGTGCAAATGCGGTCTGGATTTAAGCGTATCACATTTATTGGTCGATTGTAACTTGTATGTAACGGATAGAACTTTGTGTGATTTACCATAGTTAATGGATGTCTTGGTCAAGAAGGGTATACTCAGACCCTAAAATTCCTCAAAATTGTTGGTTTGTATGGGAAGATTTAACCTAAGGTTGATCCAACCAGTACGGATCCCAATATTGTTTATTTTAAAGTAATCCATAAGTATATAGCATTGTAACTTAAGTGGTCGTTAATGACCTTGCTGTTAAAAAACGACCTTAAATAAATAAATTAAAAAAAATATATATATTTTACTTGAACGAACAGTATTCGTTGTCTTACTCGAGTGTAAACTCTTTGTTTTCGAGATACCGCATTAACTAAAATAAGTTATACCTTATTATGAAATGATGATGAGCAGCCTGACTGCAATCATTTTCAAGTATTGAATGGATAATAGCACCATTGTTTCATAGAAGTAACATGATATATATACAGAGGTGCCTTTGTGGGCAGTAATTCTTGTTAGTAACAAGTGGAAAACTAAGTTAAAATCCATACTTTCAATTTAATCAAGTTAATTAGGACCAATTTAAAAAAGAAAAAAGCTTTATTTCTCGATTTGAGAATGTTTGCAAAAGGAGATAAACGCAGTTATCGTATCTCCGAGAATTGAAAAAGTCTACAACATGACTCAGTTAATATATAATATCTTTAACATTTAACAATATCCGTTAAGCTAATAATCTATGTATTATTTACGAAAATAGTATTCACAAATTCTATAAGATCCCACCTACATGAGTAAACATATAAATATTTATAATATTAATGGCATTTGTCTTTGCGACATTTATTCTTAAACGTAAGCTTAGGAGGAAAATTAACTTTAGAATATATGTAAATTTGAATCCAGTATGTTTTAGCACGCACCATGGTGCTTACAATATAAGATAATTGATGTTGTGTAGGTCAAAAAACAACTTCAAGGGATGGGTAACAATAAATGCAACACATTTTACGCACCCATTCAATTAAAGAGTGTGTTGGGAAATGTCACATCCCACACTTTCACCATCAATTTAAGATAACTTATAGATTTAGTGTTTCTCAAACGATCAGTGAAGTTTATTTAAAAGAAAAAAAAAAAAAAAAAAAAAAAAAATAAAAAAAGAAAAAAAAAAAAAAAAAAAAAAACCAAAAAAAAAAAAAAAAAAAAAAAATTAAATATACAACCAGTTCCCAAAACAAGGGCGTAGAACGAACGAGAAGAACTGCAATAACTCGTCACTCCTAGTTTCATACATTCGAAAGAGGTGTAATTCTGGTGGTTTGGTACAACGTATTTAATTTGTTGAATATTAAACGACTTACAATATTTATTCGCGATTCACAATACAAGACCTATATGATAATGTTTAATTGGATTGTACGAGTTTGACACACATTTGTGATTGATGTGTCAGATCACTCATTATAATTAAAGTTATAAATTATTATCAGTTTACTATTGCAGTAGGTCCGTATTTATATTGGTCTTGTTGGAGGGACATTACAAGTATACTAATA